CTTTTGTTGTATTTGTACCACAATGATTTATGAAAAATGCCCTCCAAGCACTTAATGCGTTAGTTAGGAATCACAAATTTTAAAAAATTAAAGAGATTGAGGAAATTTTTCATTGCATTTCACAATTCACCCAAGTGTTGTGTTTGTATATTGGGAATGCTTGCATGTGGACATACATACACAGTTTGCAAACACCCAAAATGAGAAATAACTCCATACAATTGTAGAATGCAAAATAATGAGAAAAGATTAATGAATGGGAGCCTGGGGGGACAGAGAGAGTGAGAGAGAGAGAGAGAGAGAGAGAGAGAGAGAGAGAGACACTCTGGCAAACTACTTAAGCCTATTCCTAGCCAGACCAGAGAGGGAAGGTTCTGGTTTCAGAGATGGAATCAGACACAGTGGCCCAAGTAACCATGCTCCCTGCATGGATGAAAGTAACTCCATGAGATCTGAAGAGAAATTAAATTGGATTCCAAGAAAATTTCTTAAGGACAACACCCTTTCATCAAGAGTCACTCCAAATTGATTCAATCTTCTTCTTCCCTTCCCCTCATTTTTATAAAGAACCCTTTTGACACCAGGTGTGGTGGCAATGCCTGTTACCCCAGCACTTGGGGGGCTGAGACAGGAGAATCCAGAGTTCAAATCCACCCTCAGCAATGGTGAGGCACAAGCAATTCAAGGAGACCCTGTCTCTAAATAAAATTCAAAATAGGGCTGGGGATGTGGCTCAGTGGTCAAGTGCTCCTGAGTTCAATCCCTAATACCAAAAGAAAAAAAAATAATCCATTAGAGGAATGAAGTCAAACACTGGAATACGGTAAGATGTTTTCAATCTGTCATATAAATAATCTACGACTATAGGAAAAAGTTTCCCTAGTATGTAGACCCTGAGAGAGAGCCCAAACACCAGTCTGACCTTCTCACCCTACAGATAAGAAGGTTAGGATCCAGGAAATATAGGAATCTTCTCCAAAGTCTCTACTTCAGATGTTTACCAACAAATTCTACAGAAAATATAAACAAAATTTAAGGTATCTACATGGATTTCAAATCAAATTGTATTATTTAGAACACCAGCCTTTTCAGTGCTCTTCCTTTCTAAAAAAACAGACCCACACACACACCCTGGACATCTAGCTATGGCATTTTAATTCCTATCACAGTAGGACATCTTGTTGTGGACCGTCCACAGGGACAATAGAATTCACAAAGGACAAGTTTCAGTAAAACACGGATCCAAATAAATAGGGATTACATCACATTTCTTCAAAGGCAGGCTTTCTCACTCTCCCTATTGGTGAAATTAAAGAGAGAAGTTAAAGTGAAAATGAAAACCAAAGGTGGAGTTAAGAAATCACTTGGTGACTAAAATCTGCCCATGCACAAACCTGGAGGAACCAAGCTTTTCATCTTTAACATTTCCCAAGTGATAAGCACATTCCATCAACGGAGGTATTTACCCCAGAGACGGCTTACATGAGGCAATTCCACCACCACTCAAGAGCTCTGAAGGAGGCAACTGTTTTCAGCCTTGGCTTTAGACCCAGTTCTGTAATTGTCTACTGTGTGAATGGCAGCCCAAGATTTCATGATGAGTGTTTGGTCAATGGTAATGGATGATCTTTGGGAACAAGAAATAAACCTACTTGTAAAAATAGCAAAAGATAAGGTTACAGAATTTAATGAATGGATTTGGGTCCTTAAAAGATAACATTGCAACATCATCTATTGCTTTCAAAAGCATTGCAAACATACATATACGTTCATTCATGAGTACTACTATGCATACTGTAGAAATGAAGTTCTTACTTTCCCAGATAGGCCATGTTTCTTGAAGAGAGTAAATCATTAAAATTAATCATTTATTCAATCTCATTATAAAGTATAATTTTTTTCAGAAAATCTGAGTACCCAGAGGTAAATTACAGAGATGTCTACAAAGTGAAGCAAATTTTCTAATTAAATGACTGATATGTTTAAAAGAATTCATTTGAACTTTAAAAAATACAAACAAAAATACTTGACAGCAAGCATAGTCTTCGTTTCTTAGATTTTATTGCAAGGGCTTGGCAGCAAATAGCCCCAACCAAAACCCAGAAGAACCATCTATAAATCCAAGGTTAACTTGACGACTCTTTTAAAAAAGTACCATTGTCCAGAGTGTGTCTTCAGTCTAATAAAGCCTCCCCTGGTCTCCCCACCTATTGGATTTCATAATCTAATCATTTCACCTCTGAACATTCCTGTGCTCATGCAGGAATTTGGGGGGACAACTCATATCGAAACTATAACAGTGAACAACTTAGTTTACAGTCCCTGAATATTCAGTATTCCATTCACCTGACATATATTTGAGTATGTATAATTTATTCATTGAATCAACAAATATTTATTAAATTCATTGCATCTGCCCAGTGTGTGCCAGTTACCATATGAGACACTGGGCACATAGTGATTAGTAAAACAGGTGATGTACAGTGCTGTGGAGTTCAGAGTCTTGGGAGAAAAGATAGGAAGTAAACCCAGTGGGAGGCTACGAAGTGCAATGAAGACAGGCTCAGAATCGCATTAACAGACAACAAGGGGCATGTGGTGGGGTTTTCCTTTCCCCTGGACAGTCAGAAGGAAGTGCTGGGACCTGAAGACATGGAGAGCTAAAATGTGACACAAGGCTGCCTCTAGAGCCACAGGTGTACTAGGCAGAGGGGACAGAGGCAGTATGCTGCAAAAGCCCGAAGAAGAAAAATGTTTCTATGTTCTCCTGGCTAGGAGGAGGTGATGTGGCAGGAACACAAAGTAGCTGGAGATTCATGGAGTGCAGGGTGACCAGCCATCTCAGTTACCTCAGGACTGAGGGCATTCCCAGGGCACTGAGCCTAGGACCCTTCTGGAGAACTGGAGACTGGGTCACCTTAGGTTCAGTGAGTTAGAAGATAACTTACTTTGAAGCCACCTGCATGTTTTTTGTCTCCTGTGCTGAAGCTAATAATGTTATTATGTTGACAGCAGATTATTAGAGAAACAAACCACCTAGGTGTTTGAACTGAATCAAATGGGGAAAAGGAAAAAGGTGCCAGGAATACCTTCGAGAGGATTAAAATTCTTTGAAAATATTGAGTGGCAGAAATCAAGAAAATGGGAAAATAAATTGGTGGTGATAGCTTAATCATTACCTAAGAGAAAGCAGAGAAAGTGATATGGATAAATTTTGACTTGGAAACTCTGATCTTGTTGTCTAAATAACTACAAGTGTGTGTGTGTGTGTGTGTGTATGTGTGTGTGACAGAGGAAGAGGTTGGGAGGAGAGAGAGAAGAGGAGGGAAAAGAGGAGGAGGAAGAGGAGGAGGAAGAGGAGAGAGAGAAGAGTTCATGCATGTCTAAAGAACAAATGATTTCTTCTTCCCTTCCTTCTTCTCCGCCTCTCACTCTCTTTCCCTTGTAACCTCTTCCTTCCTTTATAATCAGTACTACTAAGAAAAGGAACTGACGTGATACTGGCATTTTTTGTTGTTATTCTTTGTTTTATGCTTTTCAAAATATGCCCATGCTATATTTTTGAATCTTGACAATGATTATATCAAATAGGTATTGTCCTTGACATCAAATAAGACCATGAAAATTAAAGTGATTTGGTAGACATTACACATTAACTCAGCAGAAGGACCCAGGCTAGAGTTCAGGACTTCTAACTGCTAGAGTTAGAAGAGTTCATCAAAATCTCACCCTAGCTCAATGACAAGATGCTGTGAAAATGCAAGTGTCAAGGAAGGAAGTGTGACTGGCAGCAGTTCTAGGAATTGCTCCTGCTCTCTTCAGAGAATAGCCTTCCCCAGAGCAAAGTCATGGTGGGCTCCCAAGGATCACATGATTTCCCCTGTGTCTCATCTGCTCGTGTCAGGTCATCTTCCTAGTGACTGGTGCAAACCAGGCCCTCCATCAGACTGACATTTCAACTGCCACCTGTGCACACTGTAAGGTATGATATTTCTCATACCTCTGAAAACATCTAGATAAAATAAATTTCTCCCATTTTGAATTTTACTTCTGATGGGCCAATCATTTTTCTCACAGTGTAAGAATAAAAGCAAGAAAGAGGAGGTCTCCAAAAGAAGGGATAAGGAAACCCAATATATAGGCTTAAGTAGTAACCAAACAATGATTGCACTAGTAAAACTGCTCTTTACAATATCTGTGCTCTATGATAGACCTATCTCATTCAAAGGAAAATAAAAAAAAATTATTTCAGTTTGAAGGCATCTTGTTTTCTCAAAATTATATTTATTTAATGAAAACAGCATAATGTGCTGATAACATGCATACCTAATGAAATGGTTACTATAGTCAAAATATACATCTCACATCTCAAATTAAAACCGCATCTCACCTTTGCATGTGGCCAGTGCACCTAGCATCCACTATTTTAGCAAAAATTTGGAATATACTAAAATATTATTAATTATTCTTTGTGTTACACACTGGATATTTAGAACAATGTATCCTACATATCTACAACTTTTTAAAAGATAAAAATTTGAAGCTTTTCTCCTCTGTCCTTCTGATATTATTGAGGGTGTGGCATGCTGTCCAATACAGAACCAACTCATCCACATGCATATGGGTTGAATGTTATTTCACCCAAAAAGTTGTTTTGGGATTGTTTGATAAAATAAGCCAAACAGTTAGCTAGCTATCAAATCAGTAGGATCATGGTCCCAGAGGATGTGGTTCCCTTGAGGTCAGAGAGAATGAATGTAACCATCAGATCTAGCAATCTCATCTTCTGACTACCCATGTGGTGAGGTCCTAGCAGTCCCCAGGTGATGACCAACTTGAAGCCTGCAGCACGGTAGCATGGTGGATGGAGTCCTTTCCCCCAGAACTCCTCATTGGTTGTCATACGGCATTCAGATGCTGTAATACAATGAACTCTACTTCCTGGAACGGTTACCATGCCACCATGACATCACAGAATGACCCGACAATTCCGTCTCCTGATGTATCAAGCTAAGCTACAAGAGGAAAATGGGGAAGAATTTGGGAAAACGACCTGCACATCTGAGGTCCAGGCAGCGTTTATTCTCTCCTCCTTTGTGACCTTCTTCAGTGGACTCATCATTTTATTCCTGTGCAGATTACTCTGGAGAATCATAAAAAAAGGGGGAAACTTCCAGGGAACCGGATTTGTCTTGGTCAGTTTCCTTATCTGTGACCCCTCTGTAGGAAGATTAGTGATAGGTTTGGCATGTGTTTGTGTTGAACAAACAATTTAGGCTTCCCTCAAATTTTCAGGCTAATCTTAGGGAGATAGGTCCCCAGGCCACCATTCCAAAGCTTGTAGGCACAGGGCCCAGTTTTCACTCACTCACCATGGGGGGAAACAATGTCTTTTGTTTCTGATGATGAATGTCAGTTCTGGAAACTGAGGTCACTATTCTGACAAAAAAAAATGTCCATGACTATAATGTTATAAGGTATAATGTCTATACCTCTACTTATAATCTTAAAAAGACAATTGTTTTAGGTACCACAGGGCACAGGAAGGCAAAAAGGAACAAGATATCAATGTCACCCTCACTTTAGTAAATCATCCACGCTTATGTGCTCACATGAGTTTGCTGTCTCTCATGTACGATGCCAACACAGTGCACCTACACCAGCCACAAACACATAGACAGTTTTTATACCCAAGTCAGCTTTGCAAGTGTTGGTGTTGTGGAATAACAGCTGGCAAATTATGATGATGAGAAAAAAGGACACCTTAATAAGGTGAGGCATTGCTTAAGAGTTTGAAATAAAGCTCTCAATGCTGCCTCATGACTGTTCTATGACTCAAAGGCAAAGTGTTTTACCGTGCCCTGTGTAGTTTTCTTTCCAGTTTGTCTCTCAAATTTTGTTTTGTTCTCCCAACAGTTTATAGTAATTTTCATATAATAGAATACATATTACCTGTGCTTCATAATTAATATAGAAAATTTGTTTAAAACATTTAACATGAAATAATATAATGTACAATTATGCAGTAAATTTTTAAGTTTATGGGTAATATGCAATTTAGGTTTCTATAAAATGTAACCAATGTTGAAATTTATAAATTTTATAGCTGAGTTCACTCTAGTAATAATTATTTCTACATTAAAGAATTTAAGCAGTGGCACAAAAATATGGGAAAGAATTCTGAGATACTGACTTAGGTGTAAATAGACATGGCGAATCTGCCTCCAGATATCTATTTTTTGAAAACTATGCAACAGAATTTGTAGAATTTTGAAATCTCCTGAGTCCTGTGTTTCTTCTTCTCCTTTACATTCATTTTTATGTAATTGTAAAAACATGAACGTATTTGTCAGTTCATATTTATTATATTTTTTATCTCCAACTTTGGGTATAATTCAGACCAGATATATCTTTTAATTTCAATTATTAAACAAGTGTTACAAAATGTTAAGAAGCTGGGTGTAAGTAGCCAGAATACTATAGGTTCTGCTTTTCAAATTTAAGGACAATGTTTGAGAAAGTTTGAGTCTCTTCTCAATAATTTGTTATATTTAAATAAGCCTAAGGAAAAGTTGGCCAAATGCAAAAATGTCACAAATCTTGTTACTCTGAAAAGATCTTTTAAAAATTATTTGGAGAGTTATAATTGTCCCATTCTCAATGATTTACTACCTCCATAAGTATGATTCAATTATATCTTGGAGCCAAATTTTTTCCACAGATGGTACCTCCAGTTTTAAGATGAAATTCAAATGAGTATTCCATATTAACGCCATATTAAGTATTTTTGATAAAATCTATTCTCAGACAACATCTCAGGAATGCACATGCTGAGTCACATGTATTTAAGGACAAAACCATTGATCAGGATGTCAACTCCATCAGACTCTTTTAATGAGGCTTCCCTACATACCATTCAGAAAATATAAGTATAAAAACTGAATGATCTTGAAACCCTGGTTCCAGGTAAAATGAGCTTTTCAGAAAATCCAAAGGACTTGGTCAGCTTGCGGCTGCCCTTATTATTCAGCATCCCTCTCTCTGACTGTTCTAGACTCTGTTAACAGATATGGACACTTGCTCTTGGGCAAATTATTTCATTCTTCTATAACCTGGTTTCTTTAGCAATGCAAAATTGACTTAATCATACCTACTCTACCACATCCTATTACGATAACGTTTCAAATACAATAAGTAGGGGTGTTCTGCAGATGTAAGGAAAGATGATGAATTGGGGAGAATATGATACCAGGTAAGAAAGCAAAGGCAACAAAACATTTTTGCAACTCTCCACCCTCCTTGTTGTTTAAAAACAAAATCAGATATTTGAGAAATCACTTAAATATCGCTGTACATCCTTTATAAATTTTTCTTTCATCCGTGTATTTTGTTGGAAATATGTAAAAACACTCATTCCCGGAGCAGAAAGCAGCTTGCTGCTCCCAGTTCTGAACATGACAGCCATGTCAGTTTGGAGGGTCTGGGCTCAGAATAGGCAAGAAAGGCATGCATAAAGACTGCAGAATTCAGAACGAACAAAGCTGTGCAGAAAATCAGAGACAAACCCAGTAAGATACCTTCTATGAGATACTGGATAAGCATCTTTGATGTTCCCTGGGTTGGGCAAGGTAGAGTGATCTCTGGCTCATACCATGATAAGAGCCTTCGTCAACAGAAATGAGGCAGATAGCATTCTCTGAGTTGCATCTCACCCTGTTGATTTCTTTGTTTATAGGATTTCCTCTCATCGGGTAGCTTTCACAGCAGTACTTTAAGAAGGCTTTATTTTTATGGAGTATTCCGTGATCGTATAGAAATGTTGCTTTCAGCACAGACCTTTGTGGGGCAAGTGCTGGTAAGTATGTTCTCAGTGTTAACTTGCTAATGGACTTAAGCCACAGATATGATTAAGGCTCAGTATGTGTAATTTTTTCACCCAACTAAGCATCTACTATTCCAGTGGTTTTATCTACCTCCCCACCCCCACCTCCCTGTGTCTGCCACTTTCTATCCATTCTTGTGCTTTACTTATCTTTGTACTGAATATAATACTGGGCATTAGGTTTTATAGTATTGCTAGATGTTTACAAGAAGGAAAGCTATAAATTAGGGCAAAGGTTGTATGGATTTTATTCTCTTTATTAGTAGTAGATGGATGAATATTTTTTCAAAATTGACATTTGGTGAACTAATCTAGCCTAAAATGTACACCTACTTTCCCCTTCTTTGATTCCAACAGACCTCTTTCTCTTTTCTTCATTACACAAACTAGCTGTTTTTGCCTCTCCATGGTTTCCACTGCTTTACTTCTTATTGTAATTTCAGTAACTTGAACATATTACAACTTAGTTTAGGCATTGTATCCTCAGGGAATCATACCTTATCCCCACATCAGTCTAAAAGCCCCTCCTCTAGTCTCTGTTAAATCCACTGGAACTGTTATTAAAATTATCTAGACACATGCCTTTCTCCCCTAGTGCACTGTGAACACCCTGAGAAAAGACTGTGTCATGAAAATATGTGTTTCCCATGGTCTGAGAATAGCAGATGCCCTATCAACAAACATTGCAGTGATCATGATTTCAATAGTACAGTTTGTTCTAAAGCAATAACAAGGAAATTCCTTCTATGATCTGGGATGTGCTGCCATCAGATGGTGATATAGTGGAAGTAGGTTCACATGATCTAAAGATCATACTTTGTTCTTTATAATTAGCAAAAACATGGCACTTTTCTAGTTGGTGTTGCTAATTCAGGTATAATCAACTGCTAAAGTTTGCTTGGAAGTATATAAGTAAAAGTGCTTTCATGAAAGCTGCATGAAATGGTGAATCATCCGGGAGTGTGCCTCCCTTTCTTCTGTCTTCTAAAGTTTCAGTTTCTTTTTCTGAAATCCCTGTGGGTATGACCTGTTGCGGAGGATTTTGCAATTCTCTTTGATTACATCAAGGATTTCTTGGTTACAATCTCTTCAACTGTTCAAGTCGTATTTGACTATGTGAGTATATATAATACTGGGAAGAACACATTAAAGGGCACTAGAGGGAAGCAGAAGAAATCTTATAACACCCACCATAGGAGCATTGCATATGGGGGCAGGTGAGAAAGAACTTATCATTGATTGTACACCAGTAGAAATTCCTGTAATGATGGGGAAAATGTCCTTTCAACCTGTAACATCTAATGATGATCTAGTTGGAACACCAGAAGACATGGAATAAATGTTAAATTAGAATAAATACTCTATCTCAAAAGGCATAATTGAGTTTATTAGAGGTTCCAAGTCAATGTTTAGGAAAGAATGAGAAGAGAATGAAATGGATTTTAGATTCTCTTCCTTCCTTCTATTTGTCTTTTCTCTGTTTTCATAGAAATTCCCTTACTTCTTTAAACAAATAGTCAACCACATGCTAAGTCGGTACTCTAGACATGATAAAATCTGTGAGCAAGAGACTTGAACTTAATTCTGGTGGTGGTAGAGGTGATAAATACATACCTAAATCAATAAATTCAGATGCTAACCCATAGTATTATGAATGATGAGTTTGCAAGTTGTGCTTGTTAAAGAGATAGATCACATTAGATAGAGTGATAAGAGAAGAAATCTTTGAAAAGGCAAAATTTGAGCTGAAACATGAAGAACTAGTAGGCTAATGCAATTGAAGAGTGGAGGGAACAGGGTTGCAGATAAAGGAAACAAACTTGTGGAAGTAAAGAGCTCAGGTGACCACAAGTACCAAAAGAAGTTTCATAGTCTTAGAGACCATGGAAGGTGGGAGACTGTGAGGTCTGAAAAGAGACTGGAGAATAGTTCAAGGGCTTGTGCTTCACAGGAAGGAGACAAAACTCTCAAAAGGAACCATTGTATACTAATGTAAGGGAAGCCATCTAGGATCTTATAGCATGAATGGGTTGACATGATCTGATCATGTTTTTAAATTAAAGAGGCATTAAAGGTTGAAAACAAAGAAATCATGGAAGGTATACTGGCAAATGACAATAGAAATTAGTAGAAAATTTTTGATATCATGTAAGTTAAATTCACAGCAAAAAAAAAGCATGCCAAGTAACATGTATTCACTTTCTAGAACTCACTCACATAACAAAGTACCACCAACAATGGCTTAAAACAACAACAATGTATTGTCTCATAGTTCTGCTGGCTAGAAGTCCCAGATCAAGGCATTGACAGTGTTGTTTGCCTGTGAAGCTCAAGGGAGAATGTTCCATGCTTTTCTCCATGCCTGTATTCTGTCTTCTGGAAATTTGCTGGAAATCTTAAGACTCTTTAGCATGAAAACACATTACCTTTCCCTCTGCCTTTATGTTCATATGGTGTTGTCCTGTGTGTGTATGTATGTGCATGTGTGTGTGTGTTTGTGTGTCTGTCTGTCTACTTACCTGTGTCCAAACTTTCCCCTTGTATGAGATCACAAGTCACGTTGGATTAGAACCCATGGTGTGACCCCATTTAACTTGAGTGCATCTGCAAAAACCCTAATTCCAAACAAAATCATATTCTGAGGTCCTGGAACTAGAACCTCAACCTATCTTTTTGGGGAGGAACATAGCTCAGCATGTAATCCTTGTAAAGACCAACATATGACATTATGAATATTATCATACCAAGAATATAACTTCAAAATAATTCACAAGTACAATTACAAAGATGAAAAGTGTAATATAAAAAAATCACATTGGTAGTATTAGATTTTAGTTCACTTATTTCATATTAGAACATACTAAATCAAATAATAATCATTATAAATATAAAGCTTAATTAATGACAGTTTATTGAAATGATTAATATCCATGCTCTGAAAAGAAAGATTACTTTAACAAATGTTTGTTTCATTTGTAGACTTTTGGCATATGTAACAATGACAATTATAAACCTTAAAAAGTAGAAGCAGGGACTGGGATTGTGGCTCAGTGGCAGAGTTCTTGCCTTGCACATGTGAGGCACTGGGTTCAATCCTCAGCACCACATAAAAATAAATACATAAAATAAAGGTATTGGGTTCATCTATCACTAAATAACATATTTTTTAAAAAAGTATAAGCAGACAATATCACTGTACACCATGCAATTAAATATATCCAAAGAAAAGTAAGATATCAAAGACCTAACAGTTAAGCCTGTTTAAATGACTTTTGAAAAATTACAGAGTTTTTAGAGAGTAAAGGCAAGGAAACTATTAGATATCCCTTGCCCCTGTAGTATAAATTGGAAGTTGTTCTGAGTTAAATTCATAACATGTAAAAGTTATTTTGCTAAATATAAAATAATTAAAAGAAATGAATTAAGCATTAAACTAAAAAAATTAATGAAAACAGATTAAACTCAAGAAGAATAAATTAAAAATATAGAAATTAATAAGCTATAAACAGCTGACATTACAAGTGAACAAAATTTAGAAAATCATTAGTATAATCAGGGAAAAAAATACAAATACTTGATTAAGACATTAAAGTGAGAAAATAAATACAAATAACAAGGAAATTAAAAGACACACACAGACACACACACACACACATGCAATTAAGTTTAAAAACTGGATGATTCCCCATAACAATGTAAATTCTCAAAACTGTCCATAAAGAAAAGAAACTTAGACCAAATATTTTTTTAAAAAGTAAAGTTGTCAAAGACCTCTAATTATCACCATTATGCACCTCTCCTCTCCCTCCTGTGGGAAACTGATGGCTTCAAGGTATAGCCCAACAAATTTTCTGAGTGGATATCTCTAATACTAATTAAACAATTCCTGAACAAAGAAATGAAAATAAAGTGCCCAGTTTTCTTTTTCAATGAAGAAGGCACAGTGTTTCTATCAAAACCACCCAAAATAGCAAATAAAAAAATCTACAGACAAATCCCCTTAATACTTTAAGAGAGGACACATGGGTTACTACCCAAGGAAGAAGAACATAAGGAAGGAGGCGGAGGGGAAGTGGTGGTGAAAGAAGAAAGGAAAAATTGAACAAGAAGGAGACATCCGACAAATGAAAAGAAAATAAAATGAAAATTCTCTTCCAAACAGATGTCTTCTTGAGACCTTTTAGAAGACAACAGGACAAGACATCAATTAGCTGTATAGGATCTATGGGCTTGAAGTTATGGTGCATCACAAAGCATATTTTTATAACCATGACTTGTGGAAGAAATTTTCTTCTGAATTTAATTCTATATATGGCCCTGTTCTCCTATTCTTAGACAATTATTATCTTCCTTTTTTTTTTTTGGTTGTCATTAATTGTGTATATGACTATGCTTCTCTTTCATTTTTGGGTAGAAAATTTAGAATCGAAATTATGTCATTATGTCTTATTTTTGGCAAGTATATCCATTTTTAGCGTAATTCTCGCATCAGTTAGTGCCTCTATGCTGTTTTTCTGTCTCCTCTGAATCCTATTTTTTCAGGTAATCTGGGATTCTGTGTCTTTGTATTCTGCCTTAAATCCTTTATGCAGATGCATAATCTTTTCTGTGAATGTGTAATCCTCTCAGTAGATGAATAGGCCTGAGCAGCAGCCACAACTCCAGTTGTTAACCCTAACACACAGGATAACTAGCACCAATGGAGCAGCACAACTCATTCAGAAATGAGAATAGTTCAAAAATGATGCTGGAAAGTGGGTCAAATAAAGATTTATTTTGCCATTTTTTACTGATTTTCCTTCTACAGAGAAAAACAAACAAGCAAACAAACAAACATGAAACATGGAAAAAGATCAGTCTCTTACTAGGTTCTTCACGGCCACTGTGTGTTTTAAAATAAAATAAGCCTGTCCACCAACTTGAGACGAGTTGTCTCTTTACCTATATTTTTTGTAGATTTCTATTCATTATTC